ATTTTTTTGTGCTTGATGCTTAAATTAAGGAGTGAATTATTGCTTTTGATATTGAAACCTTGTTGTTTAGTCCATTTGAGCATAAATCCCCAATTTTAGGCCAAATTTGAGAATTTTGGGTTCTTCCCCTAATTGTGATCTTTTTGCTAATTCTCTTGGGAGGAACTCCATTCTACAAACACTGTTGTGATGAATACGCTTTCTTGTGACCTTGTTTATACCGTGCGTCGTTGAAAATTTGAACTTTTATTCAAAGAACTCTTCTTTGATAAAAATTCAAACTTTTCAACTATTCTGGTTAAACTTGGGTTTGTTCTACTAAGATGATATTTTTGCCTGAGTAAGCGCTGACGGGGCCATTGCTGTACTTTGAAAATTTGTTCTAACATTTGGAAGCCCCGTTGGAATTCTTGTTCTGATTTGTTTTGACAGATGGCACCAAGGCAGAAGCATACTAGAGGTGGAGGTGCCGGCTCTAGCCGAGGCAACACCAGCCGGTACCAGCCCAGGTTCCCGCAACTGCGGGACGAACTAAAGCATACGGAGCTGCTGCAAAAGCCTATTGGCACATTCTACTTTCCGGATGAGGACTCTCTCACGGCAGCAGGAATGAGAGATGATGTGATGTTCCTTTTGAGACGTGGGTGGTGGAGGCACCTATTTTTTGGGATCCGTGATATGACTTATAGAGAGATTACTTGCGAGGTGCTGGCGACATTCAAGATGCCGAAGGTCATCCCTATTGATGACAACCATAGGCCCGTCATCAAGTTCCGGGCATTCGAGGAGGACCATGCCATCTCCATGGCGGAGGTGCGCTATCATTTGGGCTTTACGGGGATTGAGGATGACGGCCAGCACGAGACTTCTTTGACAGACTTCCCCCCAGGCGTCAACCGCCAGGCATTCTGGGAGTCGATTACGAGAGATGGCGGGACTTACACACCAAAGAAGTCCCCTAGCACCCTACTTTACCCCCGCCAGTACCGCATTCTACACGCACTCCTTTCCTCCACCATCACCGGCAAGGCCGAGGTTGCCGGTAAGGTCACTCAGACGGACCTCTTCTGCTTATATTGTATGATCCACAACCGCAAGCCCCACATGGGCTATCTCATCGCCAGACTCCTCCACCGCCAAGCCACGAACCACATCAAGGCTATCTTTGTTGGCCCATTCATTACGAGACTGTTGACTGGGATGGGATTCGGGGATCGATTTCAGAGGATGGAGGAGAGCTCCAGTTTTGTTGCATTGACCCGGCTCCCCGAGGTCAACACTGGCGTGGCAAGGAGGAGGACACAGCAGGCAGTACCAGCAGGAGGAGGAGGACAACGAGCTGATGATGATGATGATGATGATGATGTTGATGAGGATGATGAGGTAGAGATGGAGGAGGCTGCTCACGAGGCTTCATACGATGCACCCCCCTACGGCACAGCTTTTCCGGATTCTTGGGCGGGGATGCATGCGCATCAGGATGCCGTCTATCGGCAGTTGTCCGCTGAGCAGCATGAGCGGTTCGATCAGATGCGCTTCGAGCAGCAGGACTTTTACAGAGAGATGCGGGAGGACCAGGCACTCCACTATTCACAGCTCCAGTCTCAGTATACACGGATTGATGAGAGACTCACCTCCATGGAGACCAGTTGGAGTTCATTCTTTGATGCCTATCCACCGCCGCCCCCTCCTGAGTTTTAGATTTCATTAGATTGTCCTCTGCTAGCATCTGTATCATGATATTGTTGGATGACTGTACCGTAAACACTATCACACTCACACTCTCACTCTTTTACATTAACTCTTTTTTTTGTGCTTTGCTTGGTGTTCATGATTTGTTGCAGCTTAGTGGATGAATGTGCTCGTGCGAATCAAGACCCAGTTCTGTTCCTGACTGACCAACGCGATAGGGGAGTTTCCATGATTCTTTGAACTTGATGCGTAATGTTAACTTGAGTTAATTTTGAGCACGCGTGACCCTTTCCTTTTTACCCTTAGTACATAATGCATATTTGGTCATCGAGGGCGATGCCAAAGTTTAAGTGTGGGGGAGTGAATTGGGCATTCGGGCAGTAGTTGTCACATGTGATTTGTTAGAGTTAGCATGCGCAGGTGTTAGTTGTATATTCATAGGAAATTCATGCAAAATTTTTGAAAATTTTTCTTTAAACTGTGTCTTTGTGAGCTGGCTAGCGTTTTGACTATGCTTTTAGAACATCTTTGAAGTATTTAGGCTTAAATTGCTTACCCTACAATCTAGTTGTTGAAAGGATGAAGGCATTAGTTACCCATTGAATTAATCCATTAATCATCCACCCTACCTGAATAAGACCCTTTAGGAGAAGCCATTTTGAGCCTGACCGTTTATTGTTTGCCCCAATTAATTGAGCTCCATAGCCAAATGGCCTTTGTTCCTTACCCGTGAATATTTCTGACTTAGTCTTGATGTTTAGGGAATTAAGGGAATAATTTGTTAAGTTTAGGGAATTTTGTGTAGGAGCCATTTTTGGCACTGTTCCTATGCCCCAAATGGGGTAAGAGCAGTCACTTTTTAGGAATTTGATACTTTCGAGGATTGCATTGTAGGCATGGATTCACTTTGAAATTAATGAACCTTAATTGCTATTTTTCCTTGGTGAGGCCGAGATTAGAATGGGGTAATGTCTAGTGAGAATCCGAAAGGTGAAAAATTAATATAGCTAGACCTCTTACTTTGCGAAAAAGAGAATGGGAGCCCTGGTCAAAAAGCATAAGATGAGACTTGGGTATCTTTCGAAAGAAATGGCGTTCTCGTGCCAACATGACAAGGAAAACTAAACTTAAATTAATGAACTTGGAGGCTATCTCAAAATTTAGCTTTAGTCCTCCGCGTACTTCAAGTATACGTCAAAGCACAAATGGGCCGAGACGGTTTAGCTTAGTTGTACACCATGTCTACTCTTTGCATAGGTTTAAATGATTATTCCTAAATTGTGGCCTACTGAGTCCTTTGATCCTAAGAATAGCCCTGAAGTTCCTGAAAACATTGGATCTTTGTTAGAATATTCCTACCTCTCAAAATAAAGGGACTACTTTCATTATTATCCATTCACCATCAAATTCACAAGTCCTTCTGATCAGTAGCTAGCTTATTAGTGAATGCTGTCATTACTTTGAGGATGTTGTGAATAATTGTGTCAAAAAGTTTAGCTTGAGTACAAAGGTGTAGTTTAGGGAAGAATTTTCTTGATTTAAATTGTCTGTCCTGTGAATATCCCTTTAACTACGTATGTATGCTAACTGTTTTAAATTCCGTGTGGTGATTATCGTAAGTCCCGTTGTTCGATTTGCTTGAGGACAAGCAAAAGCTTAAGTGTGGGGGAGTCTGATAAGTCCGTATTTAGACACGCATTTGATGCGTGTTCAGGTCGGATTTTGATGATTTTCCTGGCTTTAAGGCGTTGCAAGTCTCAATTTTGGCTCAAGTTGTGTTTAACAGGCGTTGGATCGAGTTTCATACCATTTGGAGTTGATTTGAAGAAGTTAGAGTCCGGCAATCGGCGCTTGAGAGGCATTCGGGAAGGGTTTGAAGGCATTCGAGAGAGATTTGGAAGATTAGGAGGCCACCGGGAGATTCACGACAAAATTCTGGTGAAGAAAGAGCACTTGGATCGACGTCGTAGGCATTCGGGAGCATTCGGAATGAGAAACGAAGAAAAACAATGAAGAAATGGCTAGGCACGGCCGTGCCTAGGCCAGGCACGATCGTGCCTGCCATCTGAATCAACGTGAAGCTACTGGCAGCCAGACACGATCGTGTCCGGCGCAGGCACGATCGTGTCTGCATATTTTTTGCGCGTTTCTTCCGCAGGCACGGTCGCAGGCACGATCGTGCCTGGCACCGTGCCTGGCCGCGATTTGTCCTAATTCGACCCGAATTCACTGTTTTCTATAAATAAGGCCTCCATACCCACTTTTTGGGGTTACGAACTTTGGAGAGAGGCCTAGGGACGAGTTTATCTGCGTTTTTTTACGTTGTTTAATCCAAGAACCTGGGATTCTTTGTAAGTTCAATTCTTTAATTAATGACAATTATTTCTATTCATCCCAATTCTTTTGATTCGTCAATTATGAGGCGTGAGTAGTTTAATTAGGGATTTGGGGTTGATGAAGGGGTTAATCATGATTGATGGCTAGATTCTTGTCGGTTTAATTGCATGAATTCCGTTTAATTTGTGTTTGAATAATTTAATTGATATCTCTTGTAACCTAGACTGCAGCTAGAATTACAATTGCATGTAGAATAAATTAAGAGAGATCTAATTTGTTCTAGGACACATTCACACACACTTAATCGTTCGCTAAGAGATTAGTAGCGATTAAGGGGCCGTAAGCTCGCTCGTTTTGGCAATAATTTAGGATCTTGTCGCATGAGAGATCAGCCTGGTCCCCTAAATTATTGTACTCTACGCCGCGAGAGCGGTAAGAACTTAGTAATGATTAGCTAGGCTCAATTAAATTAAATTCATGTGATTAGGCCTGTTCTGCCAGAAATCTGGTTAACCCCGGAATCAATTCCTGTTCCCTTCGTCGTTAATTAAGGAAAACCAAATCTTTTTATTCGCTCATTAGCATTAGTTTTATTTCAATCAATCAACCAATCTCGCACAATTGCATTTTTTTATTTTATTTATTTCTTTTTAATCGCTAAAGTTTAGTTAATCTTTATTTCCCTTTTGTCCGTCCCTGTGGAGACGATACTCGTACTTTACACCATTTTACTACATCATTTTAAGTGCGAGAAAACACACATCAGTTTTTGGCGCCGTTGCCGGGGACGGTGTCGGATTTAAGGGTTAATTAATTTTAGCGACTTGTTTTTAGTTTTTCGTAGGATTTTTGTCTGCTAACCTTGCAGGTCAGATCTGTTTATGCATACACGTTCAAAGAAGGGAGAATCACTTGTCCCTCTTAATCCTGAGATTGAGAAGTTTGCTAGACAGAACCGCAAGGTTTTTCTACATGATTAAAGGAGCCAAAGGAATACCCTCGATTTGCCCAAGTCCGTTGATCATTTTATACATTAGGTAGAGGTCCATCCGCCGAAGTACATGCGTGTCACTAGCTCTTGGCAAGATGTTGAAGCTAAGAAGGTATGCGATAAGTCTCTCTTTTGCTTCAAGAACACGAGCCCCAAGATCTGCACCGAATCCATATTCGTTCATGACATCTACCTCATTGTAAGCGGGGTCGGTGATTACCACTACAGAGTTCATTTCAACTGGGCGACCGACGTTTGGGATATGAAGCAAGTTGCACAATCTTTGTTTGCTAATAGTGATTTTTGTGCCTTTAACAGTGCTCACAATATCCCCAAACGGGTCCATTTTCCTCTCAATATTGGCATAGAACTCCCGTACAAGCGTCGGGTAGTATGCCCCAGTCAAAGTAAGCATGACGGCCCATCCCAATTTGTCAAAAGCGTTGGAGAGTCGATACAGAGCGTCGATCTCAGGATGCACAGTCTTCTCAACCACTATCTTCCACTTCTTTCTTTGTTCGTACCAAGCCTCATTCTCCGGGGAGGTGAAACGTGGTACGGATGAAGAGGAAGAAGTAGCATCATTTCGTCGTTTAGGAGCCATGGAACCTGCACAATTAGTTCAACACATACACACAACACCATTTGTTCATCAATTCAAGGTAAGATTTGGAAAATTTCTTCAATTTTCTCAAATCTTATGTTCATTGAAAAATTCTTGCAATAATCATGTTTAAAAGATTATGTATCAACAACAAGTATTAGCAACATATCTCTAAGCATCAATTACAGAAAAGAATTCATCAATGAACAAGAAATTCGAAATTAGGGTTCTTGAGAAAAAATTTCAAGAATTTCCCTTAAATTTGAACTTTAATCTCACAATGTTGAACATGAATCAAGTTTATATATACCAAATGATCATAAGGAATCATCATTCAACATTTATAAACATCTAATTTGTCAAGAATTGTAAAAGAAAAAAAATTCAAGAATTAGGGAAGATTTGAATTTTGAGCTACAATACCTTGGATTGATGTTCAAAGAGTGATGAAAAAGCTTTTTGTGATGATGCTTGATGCAAAAATGAAGCTTTTGGAACAATTTTAGCTTGAGGGTGGCGGTTTTGGGTGGTTTGGGGTGGTGGCCGGCGAAGAGTTTGGGAGTTGGGAGGTTTTTTTTTCGAAAATGTTTGCTCTGAATCGCGACCTGGTTGCTGTTTAAATCGCCGCGACCGGCGCCGGTTATAGGGCATCCGGCGCCGGTTCTTCCATTTTGTTGCGCCCCGGACTCTCTGTTTCGGACCGGGGCCGGTTGCTTCTGACCGGCGCCGGTCTTTCCTTAAAATTTATATATATATATATATATATTTTTTTTTTTTTACTATCAAGCATGAATAAATATGAATGTTGTTTATGTGAGTAAACATATTTACTTATAAGTGATTTTTGATCAAATATAAATAAAAAAAATGAATATAACTCAAACATATTTATTCATAATTGATTTTTTTTTTTTTTTTTTGTGTGTGTGTGTTGGGTTGCCTCCCAATTAGCGCTCAGTTTAACGTCGTAGGCCGGACGCAACGTACCTCTATTCTTCCAATTGGCATGCGGCGGTTGCCGAAGTGATATGGTACTCCATGTATGGCTTGAGCCGGTGACCATTTACAAGGAATGGTGTTTGGTCACCGTTTTGAATCATCATTGATCCGTATGGGCGGACCTCGGTGATTGTATATGGTCCTGACCACCGGGATTTGAGCTTTCCAGGGAATAATCGGAGCCGTGAGTTGAAGAGTAATACCTTTTGTCCGACATAGAACTCCCTCCGGTTAATGTTCTTGTCATGCCAAACTTTGGCCTTTTCTTTGTAGATACGGGAGTTCTCATATGCATCCCGTCGGAGCTCTTCTAGTTCATTGATTTGGAGCATTCTCTTTTCTCTCCTAAGGGTGGTATCAATGTTCAGTTGAGAGATAGCCCAATGAGATTTATGCTCAAGTTCCACAGGGAGATGGCATGGTTTGCCATAAACAAGCCGGAAAGGGGACATGCCAAGTGGGGTTTTAAAGGCCGTCCGGTATGCCCATAAGGCATCATCTAGCTTTAGAGACCAGTCTTTCCTTGAAGAGTTGACCGTCTTCTCAAGAATGGATTTTATTTCACGGTTGGATACCTCCACTTGACCATTAGTTTGAGGATGGTAAGTGGCACCGGTTTTGAACATGCACCCGTATTTTTTTAGGAGGCCGGCAAAATGGGTATTCTTGAAATGAGCACCATTATCACTAATGATACTTCTAGGAACCCCAAATCTTGAAAAAATGTTCCTTTTTACAAATTCTACTACTGATTTGGCCGTGTTGTCCGGTAGAGCAATGGCCTCCACCCACTTAGACACATAATCAACCGCAACAAGGATGTATTCCTTGCCATGAGATTTAGGAAAAGGGCCCATGAAGTCTATTCCCCATACATCAAATATTTCAACCACAAGAATCATGTTTTGTGGCATTTCATTCCTTCGGCTCAAATTTCCGGTGCGTTGACAACGGTCACAAGCTAGGACAAAGCTCCTTGCATCTTTAAAGAGTGTTGGCCAAAAGAATCCACATTGGAGAATTTTAGCCGCGGTTCGGTCCGGTCCATGATGTCCTCCACAAGGAAGATTATGGCAATGATCAAGGATAGATAACATCTCCTCATTCGGAACACACCGTCGTATAATTCCATCGGCACAATGCTTGAAAAGATATGGCTCATCCCAATAGTAATGTTTGACATCATGTAAAAATTTCTTTCTTTGATGGAAAGTGAGCTCCTGGGGAAGAATTTCTTTGGCAAGATAGTTCACAAAATCTGTGAACCAAGGTAAGGGAACTCCCTTTACTTCCATGAGCTGCTCATAAGGAAAATCGTCATGAATTACCTCTATTTTCGTGGTGGTATTTGGCTCAAGGCGAGAGAGGTGATCCGCTACGAGATTTTCACTTCCTTTCTTGTCCCGAATCTCAAGGTCAAACTCTTGGAGTAAAAGCACCCACCGGATTAGTCGTGGCTTAGCATCCTTTTTATTCATGAGGTACCGGATGGCGGAGTGATCGGTGTAGACAATCACCTTTTGGCCAATGAGGTAAGACCGGAATTTGTCAAAAGCATAGATGACGGCTAGGAACTCTTTCTCCGTTGTTGCATAATTGAGTTCCGCATCATGGAGTAACCTCGATGCATAGTATATGGCATGAAGTTTCTTTTCTCTTCTTTGACCAAGCACAACCCCAATGGCGTGGTCGCTAGCGTCGCACATCAATTCGAACGGTAGAGACCAATCCGGTGAAATGATTATTGGGGCCGAAGTAAGAGCCTTCTTGAGAGTGTTGAAGGCTAGTAAGCAAGATGGAGAGAAATCAAAAGTAGCATCCTTGGCAAGTAAATCACAAAGTGGTTTTGCGATTTTTGAAAAATCTTTGATGAATCGCCGGTAAAAACCGGCATGCCCCAAAAAGCTTCTTATGGCTTTTACCGAATGAGGAGGTGGTAATTTTTCAATAACCTCCACCTTGGCTTGATCAACTTCGATGCCTTGAGGGGAGATTTTGTGCCCCAAGACAATGCCTTCGGTCACCATAAAGTGACATTTCTCCCAATTAAGAGCAAGATGGGTTTCTTCACATCGGACGAGCACTTTTTCAAGGTTATTTAGGCAAACATCGAATGAATTTCCAAAGACTGAAAAATCATCCATAAATACCTCCATATAATCTCCAACCATGTCCGAGAAAATAGCCATGACGCACCTTTGAAAGGTCCCCGGTGCATTGCAAAGACCAAATGGCATCCTTCGGTAAGCAAATGTCCCAAAAGGACAAGTAAACGTTGTTTTCTCTTGATCCTCGGGTGAGATGGCTATTTGAAAATAGCCGGAAAAAACCATCCAAGAAGCAATAAAATTCGTGACCCGCCACTCTTTCTAGCATTTCGTCCATGAACGGTAGGGGGAAATGGTCTTTCCTTGTGCCGGCATTCAACTTTCGGTAGTCAATGCACATCCTCCACCCGGTAACCATTCTAGTAGGAATTAATTCATTCTTACTATTGGTTATGACGGTGATCCCTCCCTTCTTCGGGACTACTTGAACGGGACTCACAAAGTTGCTATCGGATATGGGATAGATAATACCATAGTCAAGAAGTTTGAGAACTTCCTCCTTGACTACCTCCTTCATATTTGGGTTGAGCCTCCTTTGATGTTCCACCGTTGGTTTGTGGTTTTCCTCCATGAGGATCCGATGCATGCATAGAGTTGGGCTTATACCCTTGATATCCGCCAAGGACCAAGCTATTGATGATGTGTGAGCTCTCAATACCCGGAGTAATTTCTCTTCTTGTAAAGAAGAAAGAGTAGAGGAAATTACCACGGGGTATGTAGAATTATCGCCAAGGAATGCATATTTGAGATGTACCGGTAGAGGTTTGAGAGTGAGCTTTGGAGGAGTTTGACTTGATGGTTTGAGAATAGAATTCCTTTGTCCAAGGTCTTCAAATCTTTGCCGGTAAGGTCTATGAACGACTTCTCCTTGTAAGAACATCATTTGTTGGAAAATTTCAGAATTTTCTTCTTCTTCGGCAAGCCCAAGTGTGAGACATGCTTCAAGAGGGTCTTTTTGAAGTTCTTTTTCAAACATCTCCCGAGTTATAGTATCAATGATGTCAATACTAAAACACGTGGAGCTATCATGATGTTTCTTCAATGAATCCCACACATGGAATTCTTGTTCATCTTCTCCTACTCGGAATTTGACAACTCCGTTCTTCACATCAATGAGGGCGGCGGCGGTGGCTAGAAATGATCTCCCAAGAATGATAGGAATTTCCATTTCTTCCATTTCCAAGATGAGAAAATCTACCGGGAAATAGAATTTTCCCACTTTAACTAGAACATCTTCCATAACTCCCAATGGATAGCGGATTGTTCTATCCGCTAATTGGAGAGCAACCGTTGTAGATTGAAGTTCCCCCACACCAAGCTTTTTAAAGAGGGAATGTGGCATAAGATTTATACTAGCTCCGAGATCACAAAGAGATTTTACCTCTCCAATTTTTCCAATAGAGCATGGGACGGTGAAGCTTCCGGGATCCTTCAACTTTGGGGGGAGTTTATTTTGAAGGATTGCACTACACTCCTCCGTGAGTGTTACGGTTGCAAAGTCCGCTAGTTTCTTCTTGTTTGAGAGAATCCCCTTTAGAAATTTGGCATAAGAAGGGATTTCCGCAATAGCCTCCGCGAATGGTATGTTGATGCTTAACTTTGTAAAAATATCAAGGAATTTCTTGTATTGTTTACCATCATTCTTCTTCTTCAACCTTTGTGGATATGGGATAGGGGGAACATAATTTGCCATAGTAGGAAGTGGCGATATATGTTCCTCCAACTCCTCCTCGTCTTGTGTCGTTGGTGCTTCCTCCGGAGTTTTAGGGTCCTCCGTTTGTTTGCCACTCCGCGTTGTTATGGCCATGACGTTTTCCCTTGGATTAACTTCGGTTGTTGTGGGAAATCGCCCTTGTTCTCGAGTGCTTTTTCCTTGGGCAATTTGCCCAATTTGGACCTCCAAGTTGTGGATAGATGACTTGGTGTATTGTTCTATGTTGTCCATGCGTTGGTGAAGTTTCCAGTTTTGATCTTCAAACCGGAGGTCAAGCTTGGTGAATTGTGAGTGGAGATTCCCAATGGATGCCTCCACTCTACTATGATTCTCCTCATTTTGGGCTTTTACACTAGCCACAACATTTTGAGTGAGAGTCTTCATCATCTCCTCCATTGTTTGCTCTTTTTGCCCATGTGTAAACCCGGATGAGGGGTAAGAAGGACCTCCTTGTGGTTTACCTTGGTTAAACCTTTGTTGATTGTTGGAATAGTTGTTGCCTCCTTGGTACCCCCGATTCCCGTAAGAGTTCATATAATTCACATCTTCAAGAGTTTGAGGTGAATTACCTTCCGGTTGTGCAATATTCTCCACACTTGCTACTTGACTAGCTCCTCCAATCACGGCTTGAAGAGCCGTATGAATAGAGGCTTGAAGATCTTTGTGCATAGCTTGTTGAAAATCAGCAAACCGCTTGTCCAATTCATGAGCTATG